GTGCCTCGAGTTAACCGCTAATTAGCCAGAAGACAAAAGCAAATACAAGCCTTTGTCTTGCTAACATGCACGACTCATGAGCTGAGCTGATGTAATAAGTTAGCTGACGTTTATACCATGTCCATTCCATTAGAGTAAAAGAAGACATGGAAGCAAAATAAATCAAAATCTCAAAATTGACCACTCCATGAAAAAAGTGCCTTAAAAAGTAACTTAATAATTTTAGCATAGATCTATACATTAATGTATTCAGGCAATTCAGTATCCTGTTCCTTGGCTATGGGAAGCTGAAGGTTTACTTGCTTATGAAACAAAAATGTATAAATAAAATTAATTTGAATCATGCCTGCAGCACAATGCCACAGTTTAGTATGAAGATGTTTTTATTTTATTTTGAATTGTTAGGCCTATGTATTCCAATAACACCAAAATAATTAAAACGATTTATTGCCTTGTGAAAAATAAACAAATTATTAGTGAAACTATGTCCCTCTCCTTGGTGCATTCATTTATTATAAATGAATACTAGTAGCATAGAAAACATGTACATTGTGGCATAGTTTCCTTTGCTGTTGCCTGCTCCTTTGATAAACCTAGTGAATAATAAAGAGGTCCATAGTCTCTGTGTGAACAGATTATTTTGTAGAAAGTAAAAATGTTGAGTATTAAACAATTGCGTGAGTGTGGGGAAATTAAAATAAATTGCTAAAGAAGTCAGATTTAATATATTAAATGTTTTGTTTTAAATAAATTAATAAATAATTATGATAAGTGCCCTTTTTTTTCATACCAAAAATTTCTGTGCACGTCTCTGTTGACGAGCATGGATTAGTTCAACCTCAAGCTGATAAAAATATTACTGTAACGTTGCAGTGGAAGTTTACCTGAGTTTTCAGCATGTTGTGTGAAGCTGTCTACCTGTCTGTCTGTGGCCGCTGAAAACTACATATTACCCCTTTAAATCTCTTGCAATGGTTTGGGATTATTTCATCTGATGTCAGGTCATTAGATCATTCATAATATCGAATATTGTTCTTTGTGTAAGCAGACAGACAGGCTATGTTGCCATTTTAAAAGCTTGCATTGCTGCTGTGTACAGCTGGTGATAGTGGGGACAAGGCTGATAGATGAGATGAACTCCCTCCGAAACTAAATACTGCATTCCAAAAGGACGTTGTACTTATATTGCTGAGTATTCAGTGTGCGGGTCTAAAAGATAATCAAGATCCATCTTTGGGTCAGTAAGCTCTCTTCTCTATCAGCTCGGCAGGTAGAGGCAAGAGAGGTGCCCCAGGGAGGGCAGGGTGCTGATAGCTAGTATAGTAAGCTACCGCTGGCTGTTGAAAGTGCAGTGCATACTGTCGAAAGCCTATGGATGTTGTGGCCGTGAACCTGGGTTAACAGGTACCACTGGCTTCGATTGTGGCTGAAACTTGTGAAAGAGCTACAACTGAACCAGACAGAGAACTATAGTTGTAATGCTGAATTGAAAATGAAAGCCATTTGCATATACCTTATGAAAACATTATGATGATGCTTTTGTCCCAGACATAAAGCTACATCACCAGCCTAGAGACTGGACTGCAGCTTGATTATCCAGGGCCACTGGGTTCATAGCCATAAAACTGGGTCACATTAGAATCGATTGTAATGCATACTTTTTTGTTTGACGATATTTGTTTGTACAATTTCTGTTGCAACCTCCACCCTCCATACTAAGCTCAATATTATATATTATATTATATGTAATACAAACGTGTTGTATAATGATAAATTAACTACCTTCATCCTTGAATATTTAAAGTGAACTGACAGTGAGTTATAGTGACCTGCTGTGACCTACAGTTATCAGTTATTGGTCTAACTACTCCCAACCTCCCAGCCCTCATTGACACTGCCATCATACGCAGAGCACTTACACAGATACAGATCTGTGATCTGTAAAAAAAGCATGCTACAGTAAGCGCTTCGTGCCTTCTGCCATCACTGCCCTTAACAAACTGTAGCAACAACAACACTCAAACATTCCCATGTTCTTGTGGCTGTTCTATGTTCCCTATTTCTATGATGTTGTGTTAGTTTACTGTTCCTTAATTGTGCTTATGTGTGTACAGGTGTTGGAAACAAATTTCCTCTAACAGAGAACAATGAATTATCTCTCTAAAGTGTTAAGGATCTTTTGTACACCATTGTACGCTATAATTTAAAAAGCCTTTGTTCTCTTAGTGTCGTTTTTAGAAATCAGTTTAGATTATTGTTGTACAATGAACTAAAGCAACGTGATCAGGGATCATGCTGGTGTTTGGAAGGAAAGAAAAACCCAAAAAACAAGCTTGGAGGTTCATCATATGTGGACTATAGGAAGATTAGCCAATGAGCTAAAAGAGATCCAAATATATCAAATCATAACAAATCACCTGCAATTAAAACAAATTCCATAAGTATCTCCTTGAACCTACCCCCTCACAGTGGTACAGTGTGATATCCTGCTGCAGTGGGGTTGTAGCGGAGCTTATGATAGAGACAGAGTTAGAGAAAGAGAAAAAAAAGACAGATTGAATGAAGGAGCACAGGGACCATTATACCCTTCAGAGGGCTATAGCGGCCCCCTTGTAACGGATGTCGCAGGCATTCTCTGCCATCCTCTGCTCGCATGCTGTATGACAAATATCTGTTTACTCTTTCCATCATCCTAGGGGCTGAAATAATGCACTTTGCTGTCCCTAGTCCGCAAATGCCAGGCATGCATCAGCACTTATATCCTCTCAATACTTTGCTTTCCTTTTTTGTATCGCTCCATTCTCTCTCTTCCTCGCTCCTTTCTTGGGGCTTTCTTTGGAACTAATGATACCGTGAAGAGCTGATGCCAGCGCCTGATGGCCACAGTCTTGTGAAAAACAAGTCTAAAAAGTGGCAAAAATAACTTATTTCAATTATTCTCTGTGCTCCTAGTCGTAGATTAAAATAATGATCTGGGAAACACTCTTCACACTGGTTTTTGTTCTCTGGAGTGCTGTGTACATTGTGTTTTTGCAGCTGCAATGCAAATCACAATCATACCCTCTCTTGTTGCTTGTTATCTGGTCTTTAGATGTGGTATTGAAAAAGAGTCCTTGAGCTGGGAGCCCCCCAACACACACACAAACACACACTGCCTTTTACAGACATATCTCTTTTCTCAGATAACAACCCAACTCAGGCACACACATTTTTTGACGTATGGGTTGAGTGTAGAGCCTCTCTGTAAAGAGTCAGGCCTTTTTACTCTTGTTCACTTCCCTAACCACCCACTCATTCCAACGACAAAGTAAGGTATGAACTGAGAGCTAAAGCAAATCATGAATAGTGCACTTCCAGGTAAAATACTGTGGAGGAGGTGGTGTGATTGTGGGACATTTATCCTACACAAATCTCTGGTAAATGTCAAAAATTTGGGATGCGTTTGAGAGCTTAACACCATCAGTAATGTACAGTAGAGATTGGTATTCCCAACAGAACAAAATGTTTGTCAGAAGATCGTATGCCACTTAACCTTCTAGATTATTGAATGGCCTTGAGCACTTTAATTCTTTAGCCCATTAGAGTGCTTATTTGGCCATTTGGAAGTCGAGGAAGCCTCAACTTTCCCTTGACAGTAAATAAAACATCCATGAAGTAGCAGTAAATAATGTAAACACACAGAGGGAAGATGGAACCTGTACAGAAAGAGGAAATGGAGCGTTAAAAGGTGGCGCATTTGTCAGGACTACCCTTGGGCTAAAAAGTCCATCCCCATCCCCACCTGCCCCACCTTGTACACATACTGTAATCTTCAAAGTCCCCACAGAGCATCAGTTGAAGTGCTCTGCACCATATTTTTAAAGCTCCTTCTTGCATTTGTATTTTTTTTGCAAGTTAATGCAGTTGTTACTGTTTATCATACGTAATAAATTTGTGTAAATGTGTGTATATATATATATATATATATATATGTACATGTTTGTGTATATATACACATACATGGACATATGTGCAAATACATATGTAGGAAGGAAGGAGTAAGTAAGAGTCATCCCTCACGGCCTGGCAGCAGGAGACAAAGGCCCCCTCTAGGGAATGTGTAGTGGGATTCAAGTAAACAACAGATCCAGGGCAACAGCATACCTTTAAGCAAGCCTTAACAAACCTTAAGACATACACCAGTCTGCAGCAAGTAAACAAGACAACCAGGGCACAATTAGTGAATCAAGAGAGAGGACCCACACTGGCCAGGAGATCACGTGCTGCAGGACGATAACAGTCACAGCATGTGTCCCAGTCTGGCATTACTGGAATGTGTTTTGAATGTAAACTGTAAATTGGTAAAAACTCTCTTAAAAACCAAACATTCCTGTAGCAATTAAGTGGACCTCAACCCCGACCAATGAGTGGACTGTAGTCAAAGGAGACCGTCAGTTGCGTAGTTTTTAATAAAGGTCATACTTGATGTAGCAGTGTAAAAATGCCACGGCAGATCTATTTGTTTATTATCTGTGTAATCGCTGTTCAGTGGCTAATAAAACCTTCAATAAACATTTTACAGCAATCTTTGGTCCACATGAAAAGTGAGGCCCATGTAATGTGTTTTCTTTTATTTTACTCTGGTCACCCAAAAAAAAAGAGACTGATTAACTGACAGAGACTTTGTAGCACAGCGGTAGTTAACGAGACAAAGAGTGCAGTTTACATTGCCTCATCCCCCTTTAAGAGCAAAAGAAAAGAGATATGGGTTTTGAATAGCTTTATATGCAGTTCATTAAGTAAAACAACCACATGGTCTTTAATAAAGATTCTTATACCAAACTGCGTAACCTCCGTGTGCCCCACATTGTCCCATCCTGAGATTTGCTGAGTGTAGGTGATAATAATTCTTAGAACAGGTGCTGCGCCATAAGCCTGGGGAAGTGAATGATTAGTGGCACTGCCCCAAGATGCATTGCTCCTCTGTATTAAAACCAAACTCTGCCTTTTATTCCCTCCAGGGTTTATTAAGTGGGCCAGTTGCCATAGTGACGCTTTGGCAGGATATTGCCAGGATAAGCCGTAATGGGTCTCCTGACGCAGTTCACTCTGCTCCTGTGGAAGAACTTCACTCTCCGGAAGAGACAAAAGGTACACTTGTGCTCACCAACCCCCATTGCAAATCAGCGTAGATCTGCTGAAATTGGTCAGCAATGGAGGGAAAATGAGGATGTGGTCCCATGGTTGTGTTATCAAGGGCGTGTAAGTTATTCATGGGAGGGGAGGTAATAGGAGGGATTTACTACGAAAATTGTCTCCTATAGAAGTAAGCTGCCTTTAACTCTCCCACTAGAGAACAAGAACAATCTCGCCTTAATGCCGACCAATTCGAAGTGTCACCTTCAATTTTTGGAGATCTATCTCTTGTGCACATTATGTCACACTGCCTGTATTTTAGTTCTAACAAAGCCAGTCTTTGGCCTGATAGAGCGGGATAGGGAGTGACGAATGTTAAATGCTTTGTTTGAAGGGCAAGTACTCTTTGTGGCTTTTCTTGCAAACTCACTATCACAGCCTGTCCCCCAGCAATGTTATCCAAAGGTTTAGTGTCTTTGCAGTTTGCAAAAAATATTACCAGAAAATTAAAGGCTGTTAATTTTAAATCTTTAAATGAAAGCTCAGCTACTCCAACTGACATTTAAACTACTGTCATGCCTTACATACCAACAAGTTCACGTTCTCACTCCCGACTCGTCACATATTGACGCTTGGTCAAGGCCCTTTGGCGTCGCTTTTTAACGACCTGCGTACCCCTTTTGCATCATTTATTGACGTTTAGGACAATAAGTAAAACAATAAATATGCAACGTCCGGTTAGACTTTCAAAATAAAACGCTAGCGTTTCCAAACCGCCATTTTGAAACGGCGCGTTATTAAAGTTGTGAAACGTTGCACTTTTGTTAGGTTTAGGCACAAAAAGTATTTGGTTGGGTTTAGGCAAGAAAACTACTGGGTTAAGTTTAGGAAAAGATCATGGTTTGAGTTAAAATAACTATGTACGTCAGTTAACACGTAAGTTAACTAACGTCGCTTACATCAGTTTACGTAACTTGCCTAACTTCAATAAAAATATTTAATGTTCACTTGTTGCTTCACACAGGACACGAACCCCAGTCTCCTGGTTCAAAGTCCAGGTTCTGGCCCTCCTTTACCGTCAAAAACTGATGCTACAGGGCTTCTCCCCACTACGTTGAACTATGACACTAAAGGGATCCCCAGTGCGTTACAAACTGACGACGATGGCTCTTGACCATGCGTCCATATGTGGCGAGTCAGGGAGTGAGAACGGGTTGTACATACAAACACTTCACCTTTTGACAGTGCAGATTTTAACTGCTTTCATTGTTAACAGTTCAACTCACATTTCAGCTCCTTTCATTTTTCCCTGACAGTTCAACTGCTTTCGCTGATTGTGCTTCAGACGTTAGTTCACCTACTTTATGTGTTTACATGTGAACTGACAATTCCACTGCTTACAGGGGTTGTCTTTCAAAATTAAAATGCTTTCAGCAGTCACGAATGCACAACTGATTTCAACGGCTTTCTGCTCTTACGCTTCAAAACACACTTTCAGGGCTTCAACTTTATCTGACACTTGTCAAACTGCTACTTCCATGAAACATTTCAGATGCAAACAATTAACATTTCAACACATTCTAACCTGTTTGCAATGCATCTGTGATTTACAGAGTAAGCCAGCACATTTAACTTTTCTTCAGATAATTCAGCCTTTTCTAGTTTATAGTAGGGTCTCATCTATAGCTTATGTTAAACTCTTTAAAGAAAATGAAGGTTTAGTCTAAATAAATGCACATACTTGCTGAATATAAAGAATGCAGATAAAGCTGCACTGTAAATTTATATCTAGAATTTTAAACATTAATATGATTAATAATGATATAAGGTGAATATTATTGCCTCTGATGTCACCCACATTGGCCAGGAGGTCACATGCTGCAGGAAGATAACAGTTACACCATGTGTCGCAGTAGCGTTCCAAGGGTCAGGTCAAGTTTTCATGGAATCTAGTTAGCCTTGTGAGTAATTTCTGAGGCCGATATAGCTGTTACAAAGAGCTAAAGTGTGTTCTTCTGATTTATACCCTTGCAGTGATGATAGGAGTCACATCCACCCACCAGTTTTGTTAGGGGTTCAAGCACAGCAGTGTGCCTGTTGCCAGAGTAGAACAAAAGGCATCTTCTCAAAAAATCCACTTTCATCAAAGTTCCTACTTTCTTGGAATAACTCAAGGCAAAGTAATTTGCAGTTTTACAACTTTGTATCTGGGAAACATTCCCCTTGTTAATTTTATCAACCAGCAGAAAGAACACGGCGGTATCCTTTTTCCCTGGAATATGTAAGGGGACAGTGGCGGTTTTGTGGATGGAATGTAGGATATTTGGCCAATGTCAACATGAAATATTGTTATTAGACAAAACCAGTGGGAGTTAGCAAGGACAATGGTGCTTCTGGAGGGCTTGTGGAGGTTAATGACCAATTATATGAATGCCTCACCAAGCATTTTAAGATTTTATAACAGGCATGAAACTGATTTTATGGTCCAGTATTTCACATAATTTCATAGGAGGAGATTATCTATTCACAAAGACTCTGGTGTCCGATGGCAAATGCCTGGGGAGCCAGACATTGAGAAAGTCCCCATGATCTCTGTGTTCCCTCTCTATGCCTTTTCTTTGGAATACATTATGATAATTCACCCTCTCAGCAGAACTACATCCTCTCTGACACACAGACTGGAGGGAATTAAAGGACAGAATTAGAAATTCTATCTAGTTTCTTTGAAATATATGCAATGAAGAAGAGCACTTTTTTTTTTTTTGTTACAATTTCACACACAAAATACAAACATGCACACACACACACACACACACATACACACACACACACACACACACACACACACAGGACCATGAACATGCAACTGGGGGAGCTCTTGGAACAGTTAGGGGTTCAGTGCTTTGCTCAAGGGCAAGTGCCCAGGAGGTAAACCTTCACTATATTTCCATATACTAAACTGAACTAAATAAAAGCTGTTCAATCATCCACCCTCATTCGTATTCTACTGCAGAAACCTTACTTTAATTCATAAGGTTCCCATGTTTCTGTAGCATAACAAGCAATATGTATTATTGTATTTTACTCCCCTCTGCCTGCCTTCCAGATTCACTTATGAAGACAACAGCCTCAGTTCAGATGTCTTCTCTTATGATTTGTTCTAATGTGCGTCATCAGTGTCTGAACATGTTACCAGAGCAGGAGCAGGAAATTGGCTGACTGGAGCTTTCCAGCTGATTCCTCTAAGCAGGTCACCCCACCAGAGATGTTGTGAGGGATGAGTGTGCAGGCAGACGAAGTCAGCTGAGGTTAGCGGAGAGGGCTCGGTGGGTGAGTGCAGGGCAGGGAGGGTGGCGTTGTTGAGCGAGTGTGTGCCAAGGGACCCGTAAAAACCTAGATGGCAAAGGGTGTGGGGTTGAAGAGTCAAGGAAATATGAGCTGCAGCATCGGTGTATCAGTGGAAGTCATCCACTGGTAGATATTACTTCCTGCCGAAAACACTTCACAGCAGGCATGAATTGCTTTTATGAAGTAAATCTACTGTTGTACAAATGTTCCTTGGTCTTCAGTTTTCAGAGGTGCACGTTACCTTGACTTATGTTTAAAGCAGCTGCACTGTTCTGGCGTATCCACAGTGACAGGAGTGGTAAAAATAAAAATGTGCGTGTGTTGTTTGGTAAATGTGGAAGCTTGAACCTGTAATAACCCAAGGTGGTTCAGGTATACATGTAAAACCTCCAAACTCTAAGGTCTTGGTACTTTGTCTCTAGAACATACCTCAAGGCCAACTGAGAGGGGAAATATGAGAAACAACCTAGTGAACAAGTAAAGCCTTGAGGTTATCCATTTGTGCTTTGTTGGTTTCTCTCTTCACCCATTCCCTGAGGTTGAAATAAAAGCCTGGCGTGTCACACGGGAGTGCTACCTACTGCCAGATATCGAAGTGGTTGTATTAGAGCGAGGATGTGGTTGGTACTCTTCATCCAGAAGAGGATTGAATGTGGCGAGGAGATGATAAGGAGTGTGGGATAGCTTTTGCTTGGGTAGTCACAAGCAGAGGTTGCTCTCTCAGTCTTGTAAGTGCTTAGAGTAAAAGCTAGACTAATAGCAAAACATATGGACTATGGCATGTGCAGATACATTGTAAACACTCACATTACTACTCACAGCCTCATGAGGTAATTTTAGTTAATCATTACTGGTATCTCAACTGCAGAAACAGTTTCTCTTTGCCTAATCCTAATCTGGGGTTGTGGTGGCTCTGACATGTATAGCAATTGTAAGTCGCTTTGGATAAAAGTGTCAGCTAAATGAATAATGTAATCCACACACCATCCCATCTTTGGAGAGATTTGCTTTGACTTTATTAGTGATGTCACATGTTTGATTTATGAGACAACAATACAAATGATGCTAGTCAAATGCACAGCTGTATTTCATGAACAAATTATGTAAATAAGAAATTTTTATCCTTTGTGCAGGTGCGGCTGGTGATTGAAGTGCTATGGCCTCTGTTCCTCTTTTTCATACTGGTGTGGGTGCGTTCCAACAATAAGCCGCTATACAAAGGCCAATGTAAGTATGAGCCCAGTTGCAATGATAAACTCTGTTTTGCAAGTCATTTAAAGCCGAAGAACAAAGTACAAGGTTGATTTATCATTTTACAACATAGCATTGTATAATGAGATGAAGTTGTTTTTCCCTTTATGATACTCACAAAAAGCAAATGTTATACATATAAAAATGATATACACTAGACGTGTGGATAAATAACAAGTCATAGATATAATACTATTTTACATGGTGGAGTGCTGAGGATGAATGGAGGAGTCTCATAACCTGAGGGAAGAAGCCAATGATCTTCTGAGCGGTTTTAATCACCCGCTGGGGCGTGCACATCCCATGTCAGTTTGTGATATTTCCAGTCAGGATGCTTTCTATTTTTCCTCTGAAAAAGTTATTAAGAACAGGCATGGGAAGTTTGTCTTCTAAAATTTCCTTAAGAAATAGAGCAGTTTCTAGGCTTTCTTTTCCTCTGTGATGCTGATTCCTAAGAACCTAAAACTGATCACCTGCTCCACCTCAGCCCACTGATGTAGACAGGAGCGTGTGTCTTTTCCCCCTTTTTTCTAATATCAGCGATCAGCTCCATGGTTTTACTGATATTGAGCAGTTGGTTGCTCATTGCACACCACACCGCAAGATTGTCAATTTCTTCCCGATATGAATTCTCATTGTTGTTTGAAATCCGGTGGTGGTGTCATCTGCAAACTTCACAGCAGAGTTCTCTCTGTGTCTGTGGATGCAGGCACGGGTGTACAGAGTGAACAGGAGTGGGGTGAGCACACAGCCCTGGGGGGCTCCAGTGTTGAGAGTGGAGGAGGTGTGACCGTAAATCTAAACTCTTTAGGGTCTGTTTGTGAGGAAGTCCAATATCCAGTTGCAGAGTGCGGTACTCAAGCCCACGGTGCTGAGTTTGCTGAGTTTCATTGGGGAGATTGTGTTGAATGCTGAGCTGAAATCAACAAACAACATTCTGATGTATGTATTGTTATTCATAGTCTTTGTGTTTGAAAACTAAGTTGAGTGCATTGAAGATGGCATCGTCAGGGGATCTGTTGATTCTGAAAGCAAACTGTTGAGGGTCCAGTCTGGCTGGGATGTTGTTCTTTATGTGCTGGAGAACAAGTTTCTCAAAGCACTTTGGTAGAATGTGCCACAGGGTGATAGTTGTTCAGACTAGACACTGCAGACTTTTTAGCTACAGGGATGATGGTGGCTGTCTTGAAGCAGGTGAGAACCCTCTGCTGAGACAGTGATATGTTAAAAATGTCAGTAATAACATCAACTAGCTGATTGGTACACGGCCAAGGATGTTATCAAGCCCGGCAGTTTTACTGATGTTTACTCTGTTATGTCCCGCAGTGCTAGTGGTATTGGGACATAAACATAAACCAGATGTAATTCGTATTTTGAAAGGATATTTATTTAAAACAAGGCAAACAGAACTCACAACAGAAAATGGGCCAATGGGTGCTGAGGAAATCAACAAAGGAATATAACAAAAAGAGATCCTCCAAAGGGGGGATTACTATTCTTACTACAGAAAAAATAAAAGGCTAAACCAAAAACTTCTCTAACTAAAGCACCCCTGAAACTAGTGTAACTAAACAAAACAAAACTACTGAGAGCGGTATCAGTTTTTAGAGCTCAAACCCTGGCCCACTTCCTCACCTTTGCACAGTTTGTAACAAGGCCACATACAACAACGTCTATCAAGGCTAGGCAACAAACACTACAAGGCAATCACAACAAGTCCTGAAGCATGTGGCACCGAGGCAAGCTAATCGGGTCTGACAGCTGCCCTGAACTGCAGTCCAAGCAGGCTATTTGAGCAGGAGACGGACTTCGCTGGAGCTCCTCGATTGGGGCAGCGGTGGCGTGCCACTCCAATCAGTGTTATTGTCACAGGGAAACCCAGGAACTAGGCAGGACTTTCCTTTACCGCACAGCCAATCCGCAGCGTGGGATGCAAAGCCTGCTCAGCATACCAGATAGAACACATGCACAGTTAAATAACAGGCGGGTGCCAACAACTCTCAGCTGGACCCGTCTCACATCTGCTGTAGATACTGACTGTGGCCAGTCCTCTGGAGGTTGAGTATACTTTACAGCTGACTCTTTGTTGAAGAGATCAAAGCGAGCATAAAAGGTGTTTAGTTCATCTGGTAATGTGGCCTCACACATAATGGAAGAGCTCCTGCTTTTGTAGCCTGTGATGTTTTTGATTGCCTGGTGCATATCTGGTGTTGTTGGTGTTGAGGTCTCTGCTGATGTCTCCAATTCGCCTCCTTGAAGCAGCTCAATTCATCGAGGCTTTCTGGTTAAGGAATGATTTTATTGAATTCGTGATCACCACATTATCAACACATTTGCTGATAGTTGATGTCACTGATGTATATTCCTCAAGAGTTATGTGGTTCTCGTGGGTAGTGGCCTCTCTGAACAGTCCTATAGAGCTGCTTTAGCCTCATATGTTCACACTGTGGCTGTGAACAACTGCTTTTAAAGTGTGTTTCCATAATTGCTGACAACTAATGTATATATGAAAATGTTAAAGAAAATGTAATGATCTAGCAAGGACATAAAGCATATTAACCTCCTTTGTGACATCACTGCATCTATATTTTCAAACAAGAATGTGTTAGCTTGGTGAAGCTTGGTTGATGAATAATCTATTCCTTTAGGCCATTACCCAAATAAAGCCATGCCATCGGCTGGCGTGCTGCCCTGGCTGCAAGGTATGATGTGTAACATCAACAATCCCTGTTTGAACTATCCAACGCCGGGGGAGACACCAGGCCAAGTCAACAACTTCAACAACTCCATGTATGTACTGGGATGTTTCCTTCTCTGTCTTCTAAGACATTTTACATTAGGATGAAAAGAAACATTTTATTTTGGATTATATCTAAAATGTAACACTAACAGACTATTTACGATCTTCTCTCTTCTCTGATCTTTCCGGTTAATCAGAATTGCTGGGATGTTAATAGAGCTGCAAACCCTCCTGGTGAACAGATCTATTCTCAGCAAGGCGCGGTTGCTGGCAGATGACCTCGACCAGTGGGCTTCTGTCCTGCCACAGACTAACCCTGGCAATGGTAATAGAATTTGAAAACCAAATGCTTGATGTGCTGACCTTAAAACAATGACACTATTCAATAAAGCACCTAGTTTTTAGGTTATTGTCAAACACTATGAGAGAAATTGGTGAAAAGAAATAGGTTCAAAGTATAGATTGACCTTTCTTGATATAAAAGTTTTAGTAATGGATCAAAATATAGTGGTATAGAAAATACTCAGCAACAATCACTCTGCTATGTCTTTGTTAAATGCTCTCCATCAAGGAAAGTATCCCCTTCATGCGGATGACAAGTTGGAGGATTTGTTATTCCCCCTTATCCCTCAAAAACAATGGCACGATTATTTATGATGCAATTTACCATGCAGTCTGACAGATCGTTTGTCTTGATAAGTTGCTGCTTTGCATTAGGCTCATTTAGTCTGATGATATTCAGATTTTCATACGGCACCTAATTTGCAAAAAGACAAGTCTGGGGGGGGGGGGGGGGGGGGCTGCTGTTCAACAAACGGCTCCTGGGCCATTTGCATTTTGGGGTCGCTGGCTTGTAATATACAAGATTAAATCCATCAAAGATCTAAGCCTGACCATAATTAATGGGATTCGCTGTGTGAGGCAAGAGCACAAAAGGTCATTAACAAGAATAGGGAACGAAGTACTATCAAAAGACTAGGAAGGCAAAGGTGATTGTGTTGTCCTCTTTTGTTTTTACCAAGGGTTGATTAAAAGACTCAGGTGGTCACTTCAATCAGAAAAGCAACAGTGTTCAGGAAGAGCTCAGAGTGATGTTCTGTCTCCCCATAATTTAACCCTGTCCATCCCTCCTGATGCTCCTGCAGTCACGAAGGCCCTAATAATATGTGTTAAGTAGGAATGAGGAGGCGTAGCGTTTAACCAGTACATCAAGCAGCATAATCAATCCCTGACGATACTGAATGATTATTATTTTTACCCAACAATTATCTTAATTGAACACTGAATAACACAGTATAAGTCACTTCCTCCCCTCATCCTGATAATTGACTGACTTGCATGTATTACACTTGCAAAAAGGCTAATCTAATTAAATGACGTAAGCCCTTCATCATCTCAGCTGCACATGTTGGAGTCTCAGAAAGAAGAAAACACATGTTGAATAGATACAGTATGTGCTTGGTTGTGTGGTGGGATCCCCGCTATGCAACTAAAGTGTTGAAACACCCAGGATTTTATTGCAACAGTCCTCTTGAAAGCATAATTTAAACTTTTCATTTTAGTTCTTATTTTCATGTATTTTCCCATTGTTTCTATCACTTAGGATAACAATTTACACAGTAGCTACACTGCAGTGATTTTGAAGACAGGGACTTTAGCTTTAACCTTGTCCGCCACAACAACAGAATAAATCCTCTAGTGTTTTGGTTAGATCAACCTTCCATTGCAGTGGAAAGGCCTCTGTCCTATCAGTTACACGACATGCTCTCCTCCATGGTTGGCACAGGTGTCCGTTAGGGCAAAATGACACATGTCTCACACGTGTTTCTGCATGCACCCGTATTTGTGAACAGTAGTGTGAAAATCAAATGCAGGAGGACAGATAAAGAATGGAGACAGAAAGGCTGCAGGGTTGGCTGCAAAATATCTGCAGTGCAGATGGCGCGTGAGTAAGGAGGATTTGTAGCTAAAACTAGGAAAACAAGACTCAGGTTAAAAACAACCAAAAACATTTCCCTCTTAGTTTTCCATCTCTGATAAGTTGTCAGCATACACTGTATTTCCTGTTATGGGTCTCAGTTTTTGCTGCTTATCAGTTGCTGTTCCAAAAAAATTAATGATTCTCCATCTTTATGTTTCAACCAGTGGTCCTGAGGAGTATTTTGAGAGACAATGAAACATTCTCCGCTCATCTGAAAGGAAATTTGTCAGTGCCACCAGCAGTGGTCCAAAGCCTCATGAATGCAGAGATTCACTTTAATCCAGTGAGTATCATTTAGCTACTCAGCCTGCCTGTTGAAACCTGTCTCCAAAAAGGATTCCAGCGGCTTTTGAGACATGATCACCTCCTTCTGTAAATAGAGGAATTGAAATGTTACCAAAATGTTCAAAAGACCAAATGTGCCAAGAATGTTTTGCTCAATGTGCTTGAACATTTAAGAATAAAATGTCCTGGCCCAGAACAACCTCTGGGACTATTTGACTTGACAGTCGTAATTAAAAGCAAACTCTAGTATTTGCATGACAAAAAAGTCGTTTGATGCTGCTTACAGTAGGTAATTTGCAATGAAATGAACTTGCAACAGCAGAGTGTCTTGTCCCTAAATGCTCCCCAATTGATACCATGGTTTGTACCAAGTTATATCAGAAGAGCTGCAAGAAGGTAATTATGTTTCACTGACATTGACAATGTGCACTGTTTAAAATAAATCCCTACTGTGCATGAGGCATTTTGATGATTTCAGTGGGCTGTGTGTTATCTGCCCAGAAAATAAAAGTTCACGAGATATTCTCTGTCTTCTGCCCATCTATCTTGTCTTTCTTGGTATCACTGTATACTGTCTGGATGATACAAATGATCTGAATGTATGCATCTGCGTGTGTGTGGGTGATAATGTTTGCGTTTTTATTGTTGTTTCAAGTGTCACTGTCTCTGTTTGTGCATATGTACTGTCTTTATTAGAGGGTGATCTGAGAAGAATAAGGCTTAATTAAAATGGAAACTCTTCCTTCCATTTTTGAAATGTGATTTAGCATACCATCTGCCTGCACAATAACCCATGGGACACAACACATGAATAAATAAAATATGGAAAGTTGTCTTAGTTGTCACCTTCCATCCAAGTTGGTATTTATTTTTCAGATGATGGGCATCCTGAGGCCTGGCAACCTGAGGAGCATCATGTGTGAAGGGACGGCTCTGGATGAGTATGTCCAATTTAGCAGCCAAGCTGAAAAGGAGGCTTTTCAGAATGTCAGCTGCTTGCGCACTCCAGAGCAGCTGATCAACACCCAGCAAGTACTCCTGCAAAACCTGGATGCGAGGAAAGTGCTTTCTAAGGTGAACGAACAGATCTCACAACTTGTCTAAATTCAGATTGATGACACCTGGAGGAATCTTTGCTTTGAAAGTCAGACACTATAGGTCTAATTGGGCAAAAGTTAGAGAGTGAATGTATTTGGAAACTGTGTTCACAATAATTGACCTGATGGGTACACTGCAGTAGTAATACAGGCCATAATGTGTGCATTTGAAAAGCCCTAATTCCTACTCGGCAAGGTCACCCACATTTAGCATACTTACAAATTGCACTGCCTGGGCTAATCAAGGTGCTATTCAGAATGTAAATTTCAAACTCCTAGGACGTCTCAGCCTGCACTGCTGCAGTTGAGGAATAACTCGGGAGGATGCATTTGAAGCCCTGTGAGGCGTTTTAAAGTCTAAATGAATACACCGCAGCTGTTGTTATTTCACTTTCATTATTAGTCATCTTTTTCAAAAGAGAATATAATTGTTTTTCGACATTTTTGTGGAAAAAGCATCTAATATTCAGGCCTCTTGTTGGGCATTTGCCATTACTGATGTTTAAGAGCTGGCACTGCTAGGAGCAGGGCTGGACCGGTAATCTGGCAAATGTCCGGTGGGCTGACTCACCTTTGGGGCCGGGGTAACGTAAATGATTTACTTATATAACTGTTTTGTAAAAATGGGCCAGCGACCGGCCCATAAACCATGAACAGCGGCTCATTGGTTCATTTTCTATAGCCTACCGACACTGGGCTGGCCCAATCGTATCTCTTACTGGCCCAAACCCCCTCCCCATCTGCACTCTGTTACTTGTGTTGTGGGCCAGAAATAAATAGCCTAAATCTTGCCACCAAATGCGTGAAAATAATCAATGTTAACCGATGCTAACGGAGCTGCAGTAGTTTTAACATCAGCTGCAGTACCCGACACTGTGCAGCCATGGGCACTTGAAGGAGTAAACAAGAGCTGTGGCCACTGCCAGGCAGAGGAGGAGGCGTGAGACAGTGGAGCCAGAATAGCACGACAGGGCCAAGGAACAGAGAGAGCAGGAGGAGAGAAGAGGCAGTGGTGTAGTCTATGTGGTACACAGGTATACACCAGAAAGGCCTAACCACTAAAGGTCAAGGATTTCCATATATCCACTTAAAATAGCGAGATGATACGTAACGCTATCGTTCTTGGACAGATCTTTCACACTTTCATTCAAAAATTCACACCGTCTGTGTTGCGAAGTACTGACTTTCGGGGGTTCCCCGCGCAAGTTTGAAATTAACTAATGTGAATCACTAAAGGAGATATGAAACGAGAGCAAACTCAAACTACACTCTTTCAGTGTTTTTGTAAGCCTGCCCCTGAAGCTGCTGCCGCTCCGGGTGACACTGCAGCTGCAGCTGCAGCAGATGACACGAACGTTAACGTTACAGAAACTACAGAAAACAAGCCATTTGAGACTGATGCTATCGTAACGTTACCTGGTGAGTGAAAGTAGCATATGTGACTGTAACAGCAGGGGATTGTTAGTACCGGTATATTAATTTGCATCTAGAACTAGTTAACTAATGATGGGGACAAAATCAGCCATTTCAAAATGTGGTGGGGACATGTCCCCAGTGTAAATGACCCCTATGGGGTCAGTGGACCAGTTAGGGTCAGACAGCAGTGTGGAGCTGTAGGCGCAGGAAATGTGGACCTGTAGGCTTGTGTTTATTTAGGAGAGAGGGTGTTAAAAGTGTTTCCCTAATTTAAGTGTTCAGTTAAATGTTGTTACATGCTTGCTTTCTCTTTTAAGGAAGTAGTTTTTTTTTTCAGTATTATTTGTCAGTATTATTTAATGGTTAAAAAAAATCTTAAATCTTTTTTTGGTTGCACAGAATCTTTGAAGTAGGCTATATATTATTTCTATTAGTATAATATTCTAACATTAAATTAAAACTAATTTCATAGCTAGTCCTACTGTTAGCAGTGTTTGGCAGGAACTGTAGTAATATTACTTTTCTCATTTTACATTTACTTATTTAACTGTTAACCAACAAGCTAAGTATAATAGGTACTATAACCTAAGTTTGACAAGGGTTTTGGAAGATAAGTGTGCTTGAGAAGATGTGGACAACTTTTTGTGTCCTCACTGTTAATAATATTCTGTAATGAACAAGTTTTGGTGATCAAACTGCACAAATGTTCATTGTTATTACTGCTACTGATAAGCCTCAGCTTTCCATTATTGTTAATAATAGTTGCAACTTGCTCTCTTAAACGTGCATTGAAAATATCCAGCTGATAAAACCTGTACTCCAGGCACCAGATTCATATAACATCCAAGGCTAAATGTACCTCTTAACTGGCAGAGTTAGATGGTGATTAACACTAAAAAGTAGAAAATCAGTCTATTCTCCCCACCTGCACAGGTGTCATTTATACTGGAGACGCTGGGGACAGCCTCTGGGGGTCCCTACCACTAACTGAAAATAGCTTGCAACCAGAAATGTTTGTTAACAAATGTAAGTGCTATGAGAAAGTTTTGTTGGCACAATAAGAAAACATACAATATTAATATAGAAAAAAACAGATCTGCATTGTCCAAAAAAATTACTTAAGCTAAAAAAAACTATTTACAAATTACTATTATATTCAATAATATTTTTATATTCTGAATAGTCACTGGCCACCTAAATTTTGTATACCCTTATATTTTTGTTTTCCCTTTATATAAATAAAGACATTTCCACCATAGATTGGTGCAGAAAATGTCTCCAGAATGCAGGACATTAAGTGTTTAATGCTCAAAATCTTCTGGGGGAGGGCTCCTAGAACCCCCCATTCCTGTATTTCATCAATGAATATTTCTTTTAAATAGTATTAAAATATCTTCTAGTCTTGTTCTCGTGACCCCACTATTCTGCATTGTCACGTCTCATGGCCAAAGTGTCTCTTATCTGAGCCCTTAAATGTCCCCACCACTTTTCAACATAAAGTGACGCCCTTGCCCATCTGTAACTGTCATTGTCTGCTATGTAGCAGAAGGGAGTTACAAAACTCAATTTCACTCTACAACTTGTTGCATTGTGACAATAAAATCTACCTACCTACCTAAAGTCTTTGCAGTGTTGATAACACATAGCCTAAGCAGTCCTTCAGAATGCTCTCTATTAAATATACATGCACACTCTAAGTATTAGTGAGTGTAGTGCTTATGGGACGTTGCTCTGGGACGGGTCGAATGGGTATGGGGGAGTCTGAGGCTGGGAGGGAAGAATCTCTATCACAGTAGGTACACATGTTATATGGAAGCATGGTGTATTGGTGTGTGACTGATTTTTGTGGGCCACCTGGGTCAAAAATGCCAGGGCCAGTTTTTTTGTCCCACTCCAGCTCCAATGTACTGACAGTGATACAGTGTACTGAAGCTCCTTGTTCAACATTCAATATATGGGAGGATTGACTGTACATCGAAGATTCTATTCCACTATAAAAGTTGAACCTAGTACGCTAGGCTTACATTTGGACTGGATGTTGCGGAGTCATTGGCTCATTTCAGCTCAGTCCTGTGTCCGTATCACATTATACAAAGAGTGGGGGTGCAGAGGATGCAACTCAGTGTAACTCTACACAGTTTAACCCTTGTTCATATAACTTTGCTTCTTAGCAAATCATGTAGAGCTTATCTTTTTTCAATGAACATAGTACACTGAATCTTGAACCATGTGTAGCCATTGAGGAAAACAAAGGATTAGAGAACTGTATAAGAGAATTTGCCATCTTACCGCCTTATTCTTCCATATTTATTCAACTGAGATAAAGGTTTTCATTGACTAGTACTAGTAGAAATTATTTTTTTTTCACTGCCTACTACTCTTATTTCTTTTTTGTCGGCCACTCAGACATTTTATTAGCCTCTTTTTAAATGTACATGCTGAATGAAGGAATAACATTCAACTCATTGAGACCTCATTTAGTGGAAATAATGTTGCCATTCAATGTTCAGTATATTTATACAAAAGCAATACCCATGTATTTCAAAGGTAGCAACAGATGACAAGAAACATAAAAGTCACAAGAAGTTCACCACAGTGTATTACAGAGTTAGTGCTCAGAACAAAACCCACAGTTCAACCACAGATGAATCAGTCCTTATCTCAGTTTGAATCACAACAAGAGTCCATATCTCAACAAACACCTCCTCTTCTAGATCCCAGCAAGCAAACAAAAAACAATCATTTTAAGCTGCAAGGTTCATCTAACCATTTCGCCAGTTGTTGCTGAAATTGATGGTGAGGTCTTTAAATTATTGGGTTTTATATTGTGAACTTTCAGCAAGAATTCAATGCTAATGTGTAGTGTTAGTAGTTTTTGTATGCCAAGAATTCCTGTTATGCCTTCTTCTTTCTGGCATTTTCTGTGTGTTTGTTATGAGAGATACCCACCATAAATTGAGAAATAAAAAAGTAAACATTGCAGCACAAAGTAATTTTCAGCTTGGATGTTCTATCAATTGTGTGATACAGTTAAAAGTATCTTTGGGACATGTTCTGTTCTAACTATAATTCTCGCATGGCTTGCAGTAAATTGAATTCAATGACAATCATTTTCTTTGCCAGCCAATAAATGACCAATTTAGAAGTTAAATGTTATGCTTCTCTGGCTCTTTTAGTTAGAGCGATGAAGAAAAATATTTGCTAATGCATCCACTTTAAGGCCAAACCTACCAGAAACACGTCAACACTTATTTTGTGTTATGACTGCACCATTATCTTAATGTATTTTTTATTTCTTCCATCTTGAGTGGGAAATCCTCTCCTGGCCCATATGGGCTAAGCTTTTAAAATTCTCATTGTCACGTGCACCTCTGTGTCTTCATGGGATTTTACTAGAATGCATGCAATCAGTTGGGAATTATTTATTAGGACCAGTGTTTTCTTGAATTCTTTTAAATCTCTGAGCTCCCTTTGGGATGATGAAAGCCTACACTTTTCTTTGAGTTTATCTTTGAGAGAAAATGTATGGGACAGCACATCCAATAAATAAGTGATAAGGCAGGAAGTTCATAGAAGAGAGCATTTGAACAATTTAAGCTCACAAGCATTTTCAGAGACAGAAAAAAAAAAAGCAAGCCCAGACGAGATATGGTGGAAAAGCTCTTCAGTGCCGCAAGCAAATAGATGGAAAACAACATCAAGCTTTCGCACTTAAAGGTTGACGTTGCTGAATGATTGCGATAACAACAACAACATAAAGAAAGGGACAAGGGAGGAAGTCAGAGTTTATCACTTTAGTAGTGAGTGGCAGAGGGTGATTTAGACAATAGTTCTGGATCTTAAGTTTCTGGAATTTAATTCAGAACAAAATACACAGCGAAGACGGGACACAAAAAGCATTCTATGTGGTGAGGTCATTAAAATGTCAAAGTGTGTCTTTTTTAAGTCTGTGTTTGACAGCATAATCTCCTTTACAGTTCACTAGCTCAACAAATTTTTACTTTTTGAACCATTTAAAATATGCATGGTTCTTGTAGAATGATTTTGTAATCAGCTTGCCTGGTTAGCAAAAGAAACAAACAGCCATTGGACTCTTCAATATCAAAGTGCAGTGGAAATTGAGCTGAACAAGTGAGCTTAAGTTTATCTGTTTTGTAACTCCTAATGTGACATTGCTGAAATCTCTCCTTCCATTGATTTCTTACAGGTGATTTTCAGCTGTTTTGCTCAAAATTGTCTGAGACTCTTGTGCCTTCTCCTCTTAATGCACACACTGAGTAAAGATGGTCCTAATTGGATGTCCTCAATCAATAGCCAGGCTGTTGTCCAAACTATGCTTGAATGGGCTTCAATTTGTGAAGAGTTTTATTTAAAAATACTAATGAAGTGTTGCACTTCTTTATACCTCTCTTCTTCTGATCTCCTAAGTTTCTAAGCTTTCTAATTTTATTTGCTGAAAGACAATACAGCCGCTCCTAATAAAGCCTAAACTTGACACTTGATGCATGAAAATGACAGTGGTTAAAAGGGCATGCCATTTAGTTCTTCTAATTGGACTCATACCGTGTACTTTTAGAATGTCACTGTAACACATAACACTTGTCATTTTAATGCAACTTTTATGAACCAGTGTCAGGGATGATGATGTTAGGATCAGGATGCACAAATTAGTGCGTGTACGGCCGTCATATAGTATCTTGAATGGAAGGGCTCATATAGAACTGGTATCTTTAGCTAAGGTCACATCACTGGTGATCAGATAACATAAATATTTTTTCAGGACATAGTAATAGCAAACATTCCTGCAAGCGTAATTTATACATTGGTTATTCAGGTTTTAGACATACATGCATTGTTCTCTAAACCAACTGTTCTTACCTTCCTTTAGCTACCTTCAGCACTGGCTCTGAATCCAGCAGATGCAGCGAAGCTGATTGGGAAAACCACTCAAGATGCTTTACCAGTGATTGAGGAGGTTAGTGTTGCTACTGTCCAAACTGGACAAGAATCTATGATACTCTATGATGATATGGCTTTTTAAAAAATGTATTTTCAAAATTTCTTGCATCCAGATGGCCAGGTTACAGAACTCCATGATCTTTAAGGCTGCTAGTTCACTGGATTTTCAAAGGGACATGATTGGCAGTATCAATATGCTACTGTGTGAAAAGCAGTCTGACTTCAATTCCACCAATATGACCATCAGTTTCCGCTCACCTAGACAGATGGCTAACAACAGGTCAAACTTCATTATGAGCAACAGTTCTGGTAAGTACTGCTGCAAACTCCTTTATGAAACAGTTTTGTCACACAGTGCTTGTGTCTTAATCATATGTCTGCATTTTAGCTTTACAATACTGTAGATAGTCACGGTATCCAGGAAACATAGCACAGATTTTCTAGCATTACTCATAACTTTATTGTATTTTGGAAAAAAGGGAAGGACTGGGAATCATGCTTGATCAGTGGGTGTGACAGATGATGGCATGAATCATAACTAAAGTCAAATCAAAGTTTTTCTCCCCTTTGAAAACAGTGCGATGTCAGAATTATGGCGTTTTGACAACTTTATGGAGAAAACAGTGTGGAGCTACTGTAGTCTTGCTAGTGCAGCACACAAATATCGCCCCAGCAAGGCAGCTTTGGTCCATCAAGGCTCAATAGGCGTATGTTTGGGTTAGTTGTGTTATTGAACAAAGACTAAAAATAATTCTATTAGATCAATTGCTCTGGACAAGAAATTATTGGTAAATATGCTCATGCACAGACAGATTCAATACAAACCCCAGGATTTCCTATTTCCAAAATACCATATGCATGCAGGTGAGAAAAAAAGAATCAATAATCCCTATTTTCATGAATTAGTGGTGTATGGTTCACTGTACAGTCAGGCACCTGTGGCTCAGTTGGCACCTGTGCCCGAGCTGGAAACTGGGTTTGATTAGGAATACATTATCGGCGGTTGTGTCAGGGGCTGGCATCAATTGTAGCCAATCAAATCAGCTCTTCTCATTCCATTTAAAAGCTGTGCACTCCCCGCCCTGACATAATGATGTTTTCATAATGGAGAGGAAAGTCCAGAGCAACCTTTCACAAGTGGAAACTGATGTTGTTGTCTGGGTGGTGCAGAGTCCCAAGGCGCACATTTATAACATCCTAAATATGAACATATGGCAACCCAAACTTCGCACAGAGGACAGATGGTGTCAATAAAACACTTCTTTGTGTATTCTAAACTGGAAATTTGTACTATTCGGGAAGGAAATCCAACCATGGCAGCCATATTGTCAGCATTTTCACTTAAATTCCCTGGTGCTTTATTGATTTCACTAAATCTGGCTCAGTTTGTAAAGGTTTTTGGGAAGGGCCAGTCCTAATGGAGTTCAGTGATGCCTTTAAAATGTCCTAGAGCTGTCTAAATTGCTAGGTTCGGCGCATCCCCGGGATGTCATTGTCTCCTATACTCCCGATACAGAATATAAACATGTTAACACGGTACAGAGTATCATCCACAGCTTTAGCCATAAAGAGTTGTGTGCTTTGCAGCAGTCTGTTGTAGCTTATTAATCCATGTAACCACATAGGAAGAAACTGTGATACATGCAGACTGCTTCAAAATCTGGGCCACACCACCCCACCTTCAATATAGTTGTAGGTGACTGAGTGTTCTCATGGCTGCGAGGATTTAATTAATAAAAGAAGAAAGATAGATCCTACAAGCATTTGTGGTTGACAGATAGTCGAGTACTGATATGGATCACCCTCTGATCTAACCCAGTACACACTCTGCGTTGCTGACATTACTGCATCAAAGTATATTCCTGATGCGTACATTTGTCTAGTGGGTGAGGACTTTCTATCAAAATAAATAGGCACACTGTACCTAAAAGATGCATGATGATTTATACGACTCACTTCTGTAACAGACACAAGGTTACTCGTTGACCAAGTTGCTTGTAGTATAAACTTATGGTCACAGTCAGGGACAGCACATTGTACACAAAAGTGGGCTAGCTCGCACTGTGCGATGTCTCATTTAATGAGCACAAAAGTAATATTGTCCTCAAGCAATATAGTATGTGGCAACTACTGTGTGATGCTTCACAAATGATAAAGGCTGATGTTTTGAAAGGCAATGTTTTGCTTTACCAGACACCTGACTTAGTCCAGAATGCATTGGTAGTGTATAGTTGTACTGTTTTCACCCATGTTGGCCATTACAGTTGACTCACTAGCTTTGACAGTAACTGTGGAAACAGAAGCCTTCACATCACTCAGGATTTTCTAGAAGTTGTTGTAGTGTTTGGACGTTAGTTAGTGGGTTAACATTGCGAAGATGACCTCTTTTGAATGGACTGGTTGCAGTCTGAAATCCTCTATTTTTCTAGAATATCTGCTTTTAAAAGTCATGGGATTTGAGAGAGCCCGCAAGGTTATTACACACCTGAATTTTTAAAACAAGTCCTGACCTGGTCTCTGATGTTGATGTATGGGTAGATCCTCTATGACTAACAAACGTTTTTATCATTTGCACCTGTTTAAGTGCACCTGATTCTATTTTTAGTCATTTAAGGGATGGTAACTTTTTCCACATGGGGATAAGCATTTCTGTTCATTTTAACAGCACACATAATTCCCAAATAAAGTTTTCTACTCAAATCCTAAATCTATATCTATATTAAATTTACATAGTAAATGAAAGTAGCACAACAGTTGTAGGTGGTGGTGGGGGCAGCTTTGAAAATCATTGTATATGTTTGTTTCATAAAATAATTGAGAATTAGATCTTCAGTGTAACTTCTTGCAGCCTCGTGCTCATTAGAGATGCATTCCTGTTTCATTAAATGCCTGTTCTTTGGAGACAAGTGCACAAAATTAGATTTTAATAAGGAGCCTATATTCCCTGGGAATAAAGTTACACTGTAAAATGGAAATTGCATGCTCATGCCAGCGTAAATTAGCAAAAACATTGCCTCACCCATACAAAATAAGCACTAACATCTCTGTTAGCATGCTAATGGCTGTTCTGGATTGGCGTGGCATTTCATTGTGTTGGTCTGTGTACAGTTAAATGAATCTGGAATATGCACGGTGTCTGCATAATGGCCAATTACAACTCCTTTGTAAGTGTAAAAGTACACTCAAAGGAATAGTAGAACAGCTATAATAAAGGCCAACCGTGAGGTTTCGTTAACAGCTCAGTAATGTTCCCTTAACAATTAATCGTTGACAGCAAAGGATAACTTCTGAGTCATTTATACATAATACTCGAGGTGGTAACTGCTCTTCCATGACAGTAAACAGTCATTTTAAGTTGTTACCATTTTCAAAAATTGGCCGATAGATTAGCACTAACAATAAGTAATTATGTGGCTCTGCAATGTCATATACTTAAACCTGTCAAAATGTGTTAAAAGATGTTTTGCCAATGTATATGGAGGCTCTTATACATATGGCTCATTGTAGAGGTTGTTTTCCTTGCTGCTGTTAAATGTTAACCGATTTACTGCAGACCTTCTTTATTTAAAAAAAATGTAGTATTTTGCACCCATAGCCTGCATCAGCCTTTCAAATTAACTAATCTATTTATTCTGTCCACTGCTTGTGTGGCTCTACACAAGGTGACAGATAGCTAAATACATGTCTTAGACACTGAAAGGGTTAAATGATGAGTGAGATGTGGAAGTTGAGGGCTGTTTACTTGTTTGTCTTCATCAACTTGCTTTCTTACAGTGTTTTTCAACAACTCGGTGAAACTAAGAGCAAACACACAAAAAAGCTATTAATGTAACTAAAAACAGTGTAGAAATATACATGCTAGAATTAAACAGATGGCTACACTACACATGGCAAAAAGGTAATGTAATGATCTATAAATCTCACCAAATATGAATTATACAACAACATATGCATCGATACCTATCTATAAAGTCAAAACACATTTTTTAACTCGCAATCAAAGCTTCTCCAGGGTTCTATACAGGTGGATGCCGAAGATAAAACAAAGATGAATCACCTAAATTTTCCACACTAATCCAAAATGGCTGGTCTGAACTATGACCCTACCCATGTGATCACAATTAACCAATACAGCAATGACATTCAGCTGACAGCAGTCTTAAAGGAACCACAAGGAGGTGCTAGTTGCCCTTAACATGTATGTAACATAACACTTTTTTTGATCTATCAAAATAAAATTCCTTCTTTTATTTTCACATTGTCTTATTTTTACTGGTGTAACATTCCCTGACACTGTCATCCTTTGAGTATTTTCTCATGGGTGCCTATAGTTAGTAATTGTTACCCTTTATTTCTAGTTTTAAGCACGTCCCCTTAATACACACCGGAGCCGGAGAAGACGGAGAGAGAGGCCTGTCTTACACTACTGAATGTCAAAGTGGCCTCTCTGTCTCTTATGAGAGAGTGACATCAATGACATTTACCCATGCATATTTAAGTTTCTATTGGAATGCTGCAAGACAGCCCTTGATTTGTACTGCTTGTAAGAAATGAGTGCTGCTTTATTGATGCATGGGGTAGTTCACGTCAGACTGGCATGTCATATTAGGTGTACATGTGTGCTGTATGTGTGTTTGCGAATGTCTGTCTGAGTGAGCGTGTACCTGGTTGTACCTTGCATGAAATGCCTGAAATAAAGAGAGTAATATCCTGCTTTTGTTTGTGTGCGCACATGCACGTCTACACATGTGATTGCATGTGCGAGACAGTGTGTGTGTAGCACCCGCATTTGTAGTGTGTCGACAGCACTGTCTCACAGTAGTGCTGAATTGAGCCCATCTCCAGGGCACAACTCAAATTGATTAAATTTACCAGGTAAGTTGAGGGGCGGACTTCAGGCTCCAAGCAATTATTTGACTGTGGCTAAACCTGGTGTAAAGAACAGATTCACTTGTTCTTTCACACTGCTGTTTTGTAATAAAGTAAAGATCTGTTGTCAAAAAGAAGGTCTAACCTTTGTAATCTGATGCTCCCTTCGGCACACAAAATATGAAACACTGACATATCTTTGCCACGATACAAAGATACTTAATGTAAGAGGGTTATGCATTTGTCACTGCCATCTATATATACATGCTCCATTGTTGACTAAAATTCTTCTTTGTGTCTTGTAAGTGGCCCGAGTGTGTTGTTGAAAGGTCGATTTGCATTGCAGTCTAAGCTTGTGTTCACGTTCCTGATTTTTTTTCAAATTTTAAATAGTTTAGTGGAGACCAACGGGCTATAGACATCAGTTCATGTCATCGGTG